TATCTCACAAAGAAATTATAAGCACAAGGATGAACTTAAAAGTGAGAAAAAGAAGATTGTTGTTTAGAGGAAGAAGCTTGCATTTCACTTGTGATTTTCTAACCTAGAGAGACTCCTATTTATACCAATGGAAGAAAAGCTAGCTCATTAATCAAGGAGTTAAACCATTCATTGATAAAGGAGTTAAAAATATGAAGGGACTTGAGTTACTTGAGTTACAACATATGAAGAGACTTCTATTCAAAAATTTTCATTACTTCTATTCAATATTTTTCATTCAATTCTAACATTTAGATTGTTGTTATTAGATTTTGTAGGAAACACATAGATGCATTTGTTAGTTTCACCTAAAACAAAGAGTGTTGTGAATGTTTGGAGGTCACTGTAAACCTAAATTCTTATTCTATGGTGTTGTGAATTTTATTTTGCATTCATATACAGCTAGTCTCACTTTGTCCATGCCATGTGGTTCATTTTAATCCTCAAACTTTTGATTCATGTTTGCATATAGAGACTTCACACGTAGTTGTTATGGAACTCATAGACCAAGATCAACTATCATCTCAACAGTTATGGAATCACCTATCTAGATAAACTGTCATTCTTAACAATTATGTTCGGAATTCTCAACAATTATTTCATTTTTCTTGATGGTTTTTGTTTATATGCCATATTTAGTTGTTCTTCTATGTATATTATAAATTAAATGTACAATATATCATCATCTGATCCTTGTTAATTCTTCACATAGTTCATTCGTACTAATAATAATTATATCATTTTTTAGAAGGACGAACAACGAGGTCGTTGGAGGATTACTAGAAAAACACAGACACTTCTTTTTCTAATAAAAGGGCTGCAATGGAGGTGCTCTCAATTGCCATAGTCCTAGCTGAAAATAACAAAATGGTTACAAAGAAGAAACATTGCACGATGTGGATTTGATTATCGATTGCATTGACCCGAACTTTGTTCACTAAGAGTGATAAAAAAGGGCTAGAAACAGTAATTAATTCGAAGGTTTTAATTTGAAAAACAAGGTCGTCCCTTTTTTTGTGATGTGGTAAGATTTAACAAATGTAGGTGATTGTGACATAGTGTTGGTGTCGAAAAGGCGATGATCGATGCATATCCAAATACTGTCAGTGTGAAATCAGACTCCTACAATAAAAGCGGTAGGAAGGAGGAAATAACATGAAGTAATATGCCCTTTTTAATTGGGAAAATATGCGTATCTTTGAACTTGTAATTTGTGGTATTTAGAAGGTTTTTATGTTGATGTCTTGTTTTTATATTTATTTGGAAAATTGTTCAGGTCCATTATCATGTATGTGTTAGTTTATGTTATTTTGGGTAAATACAGTGTTATTGTGAAGGATATTGATTGAGCTCATGTTTGATGCTTTCATGTAGAGACCAAAGGACAATGGTATGACTATGATATGATCCGTATTTGTATAGATGTGGACATAGGAAATTCTATGTGTGTTTACTACTATGGTTCTAAAAGCAGAGTACAATAAATCTAAGGTTAAATCTTTCATTAATAACCTAGAATTTTTAGTGTATAGGGAAATCTTGTCTCTGAAAACATCACACTTATGTCATGAATATTTATGTACACGAAATGTCTTCTATATGATAGTTGTAACTATATGGGACTATAGAAATGCATTCAATCATCAAAAAAAAAAAAAAAAAAAAAGGGATTTGATTGAGTATCGAGGAGTCAAGTTATTTAGGCCCATTTTTGCACAATAGGGTTATGAAATCCACGAGAAGCGACTAAGCATATTGTAGACAATGTTTTCAATTTTTGAACTATGTATTGGGTTATCCAAGTTCTCATGTAAGGGGATCACCCAATATTATGATTGGACCGGTTTTGCTCCTTCGCCACTTCCATCTATCACCTACATGCACAAAATCTCCCTTGTGCAACACGATGAATACCCTTATTACTCTTACTTGAAAATTTCAAATAGCAATGATAAGTATTGGGAACAATTAACATATCAAACTTTCGTAGCATGTAAGTGACACTTACAAATAAATTATACTAAACAATAACAAACATGTGAACACGACAATTTAGATGTCTTTCTCAACATTTACTAAGTGTCGAGTTCCACACTTGAACTATCGGTCTCCACAATTTTTTGATAATTCAACTATCAGTATTTATGGTTAACACCTAGGGGATAGCATTTGAGAGGTGTGATTGGAATATATTCTTCATTACATTAAATGTGTTCATCAATGCACAACTACCAAATGATAAAACCTTCACAAATAATTTACAAAATACTTTATAAAATTCGGAATTTTTGACGTCATTTTATAAAGAACCTTACTATCTTTATTAAAAATTTATATATATGCAAAATCAAACCGAATGAATGGATAAAAATTTTGCAAAATTGCGAATTAATATGAGAATGTTGTATATAACAATTCAAAAATAGTAAATTAGATGATAAAATTATTAAACAATTCGTAGATACTAACCTCTCAAGAATACTTTATTCTTGATATTGGAATGGAGGAGATGTAAATTCGGGATTTTGTGGAGAGAAAATAATGTCACCTAAAAAATGTAACTTATGAATTTTATTTATTTATTTATATTTTTGGCTGAGAAATTTATTGCCCATTGTATTATTAAGTATATTCAATGATTTTTCTTTCCCAAGTCAAATCATCGAATATGACATTAACTAGAATTATATGCGTGTATTAATGAGCATTAAATACACCCAAAAATGTATATTTCACACCCTAAAAATGACATTTTTAAGCACCATTTGTAAAAGTAACAATTTTGGTGCAATTTCAAATTTTATGGCATCTATGCAAAATTTCATTTTATAAATACATCACATTTTAATTACAATAAAAGCCATCAACCTTTACTCATTATTATACTTATACCCTTAACTTATTTCTACATCACATTCTTATTTTTAACATTTCATTGATAAGAAAATCTTGTTCGAAATCATGATTTCCGTCCAAAAATATTATTAACTTGTTTTAAAATGAAGGTCAAATACTTAATTTTAATTTTGTATTACTATTTTGGTTCATTTAAACAAATAATGGGCCAATGAATCTTTTTACTCTATTTTAAAGAAAAATCTGAAAAAATCATAGTCAGGAATAATTTATATTAATTTAAAAATAATAATGGGATAAAAAAAATTGAGACATAATTTTGATAATGTATAAATATTATGAATTTTTTATGGAAGTAAAAAGTAGTTTAGTTATAAAATGAGATGTGAATTCATGTAGCCTTATAATTTAACATTTGCTAATTCCTCTAAGAATAATGCTATTGAGTATTAGTAGTGTTAGAGCACCAGTTTATATGACAACTATTAATATGTTCAATTAAATAAATTATTTGACAGTGCATTTCAATCAATCTATTATTTAATATCATGTAATTGTCACATAAACTAGTACTTGAAATCGACAGTGATGGATACATCATTCTTCCTCTAAAGACTAAGGGGGTGTTCTCTTTGTGTTTCAATTTTGTGTTTTGAGTTTTGAATTCATTTTGAGTTTTGTGTTTTGAGTGTTTGTTTTGAAATTATTGAAAATGCGTTCTTTTTGTTAGTTTCTCAAAAAAAAAAAAAAATGATTTTTTTTTTTGAATTTTGAGAATCCCCACAACCCCCCCTAAAAAAAAAAAAAAAAAATTAATTTTAATTTTTTTTTTAAATTTTGAAAAACCCCCCCCCCCCTTCCAAAAAAAAAAAAAAAAAAAATGTTGTTTCCCGTGTTTTCAATTTTTTCAAGTTTTACACTGAAAACGCCCAAAACGACAAAAAAGTCGTTTTGTGTTTTCTTCACAAATTTTTTTTTTGTTTTCGAAAATTCGTTTTCAAAAACGGGAAAGAGAACACGTTTTCACCGTTTTGAAAAATCGAAAACAGAAAACGGTCCGAAAACGGTAAAGAGAACAGGGCCTAATTGTTTACTGAAAAGGACATTTTGCAGCTCCCAGTGGTATTTCTCAAACAAACATTTACCTAATTGGAATGACACTACTAGAATAATATAACGTAATCATGAGGGTTTGTTCCAACATTGACAAATGAACTAAAAAAACTCTATAAAGTGAAGAACCAACCTTGGATCTTCATAGTTTCTACAAATTTCATTGCCATCACCCAAATATAAAAAATTCTCGCTACGGATATAGAAATATATAGAGCCGATTTGAGCCTTATTTTTGGAATAGTATTTTGATGGTTAATTTGTGGTTAAAAATAAGAAAAAAAATGTTGAATTTGCGTATAATATTGTTTTATTGAAAAATTTGTGGTTGAAAATAAGATATAAAAATATATTTAAAAAATAATAGGGACCAAACAAGGGCATAAAGTTGAACGTAGTAAAATAAGAAGTTGAAAGATTTTATTGAAATTGTTCGTTTGAAAATTTTTCAAAAAGCTAATCATAAGTTCTCTCGTAAACAATATAATTTAGCTCAATTACATCCCCCCCGCCCCCAAAAAAAAAAAAAAAAAATGAATCTCATTTTCAACTAATGGTTTAGCACTAATTACCAGCTAATTGACCACTCCAATAATTCATGAACTTGCCATTAAATGATTTCAGCATGTTTTGCCCGAGTCCAAGCTGAGTGACTTTTAGTATCTTCTTCTTTTTTACACTTTTAAGCTAAATTGCATCAATTGCTTTTGGATTTCCATTAAAAGTTATTATAATTTCTTTCTAATGAAAAAATAATGGATCTCACAAAATATAATATGAATAATAACGATTTTGCTGATGATATATCGTAGTGTATCGAATGATGTACACTCCGTTCACATCGACGAGGGACCCACTCAAATAAAATATTTTTTCTTTCATATAGGTTCCACAGCCATATGAATGGAATGTACACCATTTGATACACTACGTTACGTTCGAATAATAATTGTGAAAGGTAACACTGTTCACCAATATTATAATCCGTTTCTTAGAGACCCATTATTACAGGGTCTGTAGCCCCAAAAATGCAAGAGACAACAAATTAAATCCATGTACTCGTTCAATCCCAGATCAAATTTATTGAGAAGAAAGATAAGTATATGAATCTGATTAGATTGGCCGCACAAAGCACTCAGATCTTTCTATTTCACAATCCCAATACTTCCCCACCTGGATCTCCCATCGGGTACTCCATCAAATTTCCCACTGTTTTGTTTTAATTCATTACATTAATTGGCGGATCTCTGCCTATCGTCTACGCTGACCATTCTCTTTGCCTCTTCGTGACTGACAGTCTTTGCCTCTTCCGCCATTGCCAACAAGGTGAAGGAACTTATTGAAGGTATTCAAGTAGTATATATATATTTTTAAACCTTTTTTGTGTACCCTTCTCCAGTTAAAAATATCTTGCCTCAAATTTAAACCTTAGATTTTGGCCCATCTGGTTCCGTCTTGTTGCCAAATATTTTGTCATTAAACTGTATCTTTCTTAAATCTATTTTGTTTTTCATTGATTTTGATAATGGGTACTGGAATTTGGAGGTTGATGAATATTTTTTTGATTGAATGCACTTGTATGATTGGTGTTTTACGGTACTTTATGATCATAATTTTAGTGTGATCTGTGGAAAGATAAGAAGAAATCTTACTTCGGATTTGTTTTTTGTTGGTTTCCATGTTTTGTTTTTGGCGAATGTTTAAAGAAAATAAGGATAATGAAAATGGCATAAGTTCTAAATTTCAGAAGTTTTGAGTGTTTATAGTTGGAAATGCAAGTTAATTAATTTAAAATTTCCAGGCACTGTGGTGAAGGTGAAATTGGCTCAGAAGGAGTTGCTGTGAAGAGGAAAGGAAGAAGAGGGCCGGTAGTTGTGATTGGTGAGTGCTCCGTGCTGTTTTGTGCTTTCCTAATCTTAGATATGTTTTGATTACAAAGGTTTTGTCTTGAATTGTTATTGTCTTCGTCAGAGCTGGTGTTCTGACTTTGTTAACCATCAAATAATATTAATGACTTTGCGGTTATTTAGCCACAACATTCAAGATAACTTCAAGGGGAGCAGAAGGGGTAGTTAGCATCAAGGGAACTCTTGCTGTACTTCTAGTTTCAATTGGTTGTCTAAGGGGTTATTGAACTTAGTAATACAGAGGGCTAAGACCAATGAAGTCTTCTTCACATGCTTGACTGAAAATTGATCACTCCAGAATTAAAGGAAATGATGGAGTTAAATTTATTGAAAATAATATTCCATTTGGTTTTTAACTTCGCATCATGATAAAAATATACCACGTAGAAAATGGTCATGTCTACATGCTTACAATTATAATACGCGCCACTCCTTTTCCTTTTCTGTATTCTGATTAGAAAATGCCGGAATAACAATTTACCATGATTTTCGCCGCTCTTATCTATTCTTCAATGTTTCTAAAGTCATCTCTTGTAGCAGATACACTTTTTGCAAACCAAACCATTTGTGAGGGGCAGATTATAGTTTCTGAGGGACAAATAGCTAATATGAGTTTGATAAGAGAAAGAGTGCTTAAAGGTCCAACAAGATTCTAGTAGCTAGTGGATTATAGTGCTAGAGTTTATAGTCTTTGTTATATTGTAAATAAAATAGGGTTCGATGGGAAGAGCTAATCATCGAGCGAACAATCTCCTGTGCACCCTTGACATTTCATCTCCGGATTCATCTCCTGTGGTAACTTCTATAACAGATTCGTAGGGATATGGTACACACTCAAAATAATTAAATATACTGCCAAGTTTCTTCGACTTAGGTTATGTGGCATCCAAATTTGTGGAGAAATTTTTCTAATCTCTTACTGAAATCAGTATGTGAGTGTTCACAAAATGAGAAGAGGTGCACATGATGCCCTTAATACAAGTCATTTTAAGCATTGGTCCGCTGTTGAAACTTTAATTGGAAATATCTACATAAATATAAAGAACTTCTTTAACACAATCTTGTAGGTTTATTTATTTATTATATTTTATATTATTTTTTGTAATACTTTTCTCTTCTCGTTATGAACAACACAAGTATTCAGAAAAATAAATTGTAATTTCAGCAAAGAAGTTCCAATCTGATGCGGTAGAAGAAAAGGCTGCAATCTACTTCCCTTTGTAAGTCAACGCCCCCATCTCACTGCTTCTTGATGCCTTGTAGGCAAAATAATGGATTTGTTGTTTTCTTTCGGCAAATAATGAATTGTTGTTGCCTTTTCGGTAAATTAATGAATTGTTGTTGTATATCCCAAACAAGTACTTAATGTTATATATGAATTTATTATATCGTCTTTCTTAAATTTCAGTTCCCTGGCGTGCATCCTAAATTCCTTGATACGCCCCTGATTACATTTATATTTGATTTTTGGGATGAACTTCAATTCTTGATCTGTTGGCTGTTCCTACTATGATAGGATACTTCTATGAATAGATTTTTATATAGCTCATAAAGATTAAAGATCTAAATCAGCTAGAGCTAGTCATTTTGTTAGGAGGCTCAATGAAGCCCCCGCTTGACAACCATTGTTTTTTGGGAAGAATGAGTTTCTAAATAGTAATTTTTTTGGAGAATGTGTGGTTAAAAAGTTAGGAAAGATGTGAAGAATATTTTATTGTGAGTCTGTGGTCGAATATGAGCGTGAGAAAAAAAGAATTTTGAAAGAGTGGTTACCAAACGGGCTAAATGTTTCTAGGACGTTTGATGATTTTGATGTTACATTTTTGCATCATATGTTAATGGGTTTGGATTCTGCATTTAATTGATGAGGGTTAATTGAACTTAAAGTGTGATTTTTATGGATAACTTTCATATGATACACTTCGCTTTTATGGTGTGTTTTTTCCCTTTCTCTATTGGCTGTAATTAGAGTTTCAAGCACTTGATGCTTTTTTTATCTTCTGATTGTTTACTTAAGGAGGAAACTTTTGCCTGCAACAGTACATGATTGGAAAAATGGATTTGATGAGGGAAGCTAAAGGCAATTTGAGCATGAAAGGTTTTAAAACGAAATTTAGATTGGCGATTGTGATTATTATTGCTTTATGGATTGGCCTTGCTGGTCTTTATGGTTTGTTGAGACCAATATCAAATGGTTGTATCATGACCTATATGTATCCGACGTACATTCCCATCTCCACTCCGGCAAACATGTCATCCACCAAATATGGTTTATACCTGTACCATGAAGGATGGAGAAAGATTGATTTTAATGAGCACCTTAAGAAGCTTAATGGCGTTCCTGTTCTTTTTATCCCTGGTAATGGTGGAAGCTACAAACAGGCAAGTCTCTCCTTATTTATCTCTTGCCGTCTGGAATATTCTATCAGGATTTGTTATGATGATTAGTAAACTAAATTTGGCAAAAAAACTTGATCATAGCTCACTAAAAGAAATTGAGCAGTTAGCCATCCAATGGCTGATCTACTTCTGTTAGTATCTTTGTATCTCTTGTCATGAGGGATGTTAAAATTACATTACTATTCCCAAATGCATAAATGAGCTTTTGTTAAGAACTTTTTATGAATAGATAGACTGAACTATTTTCTCAATAACACCGCTGATGGTTTTGTATTAATAAAACATTCTTATATGATGATAAGGATATGCCATATGATGATAAGGATATGCCATATAGGAGGTAAATTACTGTATGGATTCTCGTGTTACGTGATACTGATGAAAACAAATGCTCTATTTGTAGATACATTAGAGATGCTTAAAGTTTAAATTTATATTTTCTGACAAGGTATCTCTTGTTTTCTGCTTCCCCCTAACTGATATAGGTGAGATCCATGGCTGCGGAATCTGATAGGGCTTACCAAGGAGGCCCACTTGACCATAACTTTTACCAAGAAGCTTCCCTAAATCTTGGAATGGGAGTAGATAGTGATGTTACTGAAACTCCATTACCCAGTCAATACAGTTCCATGCTTGATTGGTTTGCTGTGGATCTTGAAGGTGAACATTCTGCAATGGATGGTCGGATACTTCAAGAACACACAGAATATGTAGTATATGCCATTCACAGGGTATCATTTTTGTCACTTTAGCATACCATCCTGATAGGGCTTTTTAAGGTTGGATTATAATGCCAATCTGGATTGCATAACTTTTTGTCATGCCAGAAACCTAATAAACTCCTGTGGGATCATAACAAATGATATTAGAGTCTGGAAAAAAAAAAAATTAAAGTAAATACTCCTTTGCTAAATTGTTGAAGTTTTATCCATTTTAATGCTTTGGCGTGGAATCTATTTGTGTAGGCTAATGATTGGGGTGCACTATCTGTATAATATATCTCCCTGCTCATGGGATTTGTTAAAAACATGGTAATTATATTTTTTTGTTTGTTCCATATCATGAATATTATTCTATCCTGAAATCTCATTCTACTCAACATGAGCTCGTTGGCAAAAAAATTGATCAGAAAAACTAGCTGTGTGAGTTCTTCATCGGTGGAGACCTTTTTCTTCTTCGTGAATTTTTATTCTGCTAGCCAAATACAAAAAACTTAGCTATGATCATTTTACTCTCTGATATTGAAAAGATTAGCCATGTCGTGTGAAGTCTGACGAATGTGGCATGTTTGTGTTGTTACTTGTGAAGTTTTAATTTGCTGCTAGATAATTGGGCAAAAATTTTCAGATCCCATTATGGAAAATCCAGTTTCACTTGGTTTTTGTGATTCTTCCCCTGTATTTTTCTTACGACCAAGATTAAATTTCTCTAGCAATTTACTCGTCATTTAATGCTTGTAGATTTTAGATCAATATAAAGAGTCTCGTGATGCTCGATCAAAAGAAGGTTCTGCTGTTTCTGGGAGTTCACCAAAAAGTGTCATCCTAGTTGGTCATTCTATGGGTGGTTTTGTTGCTAGGGCTGCAATAGTGCACCCTCATTTGAGGAAGTCTGCAGTTGAAACTGTTTTGACGCTTTCATCTCCACACCAGTAAACTTTTATTATTATTGTTGTTGTTGTTGTTGGCATATCATCTCTATGCAGTAATCATTGCACTTGTAATGTACTTTTTCTTTATCCAGGTTACCTCCTGTACCGTTGCAGCCATCCCTTGGTCACTATTACACACGTGTGAATCAGGAATGGAGAAGAGGATATGAGATCCAAACCACACAAAGTGGACGCTATGTGTCTGAACCTTCACTCTCACAAGTTGCTGTTATATCCATTTCTGGTGGCTATAATGATTACCAGGTATCCACATCTTTGTACTTAGATTTATTGTAGAACAAAGGACTAAACGTACAAATTATAATGAATGTATCACGAAGAGATGATCAATTTTGCTTTTGACGTCATCTGGGGGAAAACAAAGAATTCTTAGCATTGGCAAACTGCCAATATATATCTAGAGCGTTCTTATATCTATGAGCACTTATCAAAGTATTAGTGTACGTCATGTCGTTATATTTTCAATGGTTATCTTCTTTCTATATGCATGTACCATTGTGGAAAGAAAGTTTTGAGCTTGCTCTCTGTTTCATGTTTTCCATTTTAGTATTGAAGCGTGCTCAATTGTCTGTTTCGTGTTTTCCTTTTTAAGTATTGAAGTATATTCGTTTCTATTTGCTTACAGCATAGTCCTATGCTTTTTTTTTTCTTTTTTTATTAAACCCGTAATAAAAGTTTGATTATTTATTATAATCGGTGTTTAATTTTTAAATGAATGGTATTGTACACTTCCTAATGTTCTTCAGAAAGTGGAGATGTGATAGATTTATTTTCTCGAACACGAAGAACTATGTTCTGCTATTTCTCTTACTAGTCATTGTGTCAGTGGATGTTTGATTTGTTGATCATCTTTAGCTTTCATCTGATGATTTGTTGCTAACGACAAATCTTCAAAATTATTTGATTTTCTTTATTAGGTGCGATCAAAGTTGGAGTCCCTTGATGGCATTGTCCCATCTACACATGGATTTATGATAAGTAGCACAAGTATGAAGAATGTGTGGCTGTCAATGGAGCACCAGGTTATCTTATGGTGTAATCAGCTAGTTGTGCAGGTGAGTCATTATTCTCTTACAGAACAATTTATTTTCTGATAAAGGAAACTCTAAAATTCCTTTTTTACTTTTCAGGTGTCACACACTCTTCTCAGTTTGATAGATGCAAAGACAGGACAACCTTTTCACGATGTACGAAAAAGACTGGCTATATTCACAAAAATGCTCCACAGTGGAATTCCGGAGAACTTTGATTGGTTAAGAGAATCATCTGTATCACAACAGTCTGCGCATTTGTCTAATCAAGGTGGGAATATCAGTTTTTGGAAATTTGAACCCCAATTGTCCATGCGTAAAAGTTTTTACTTTGGCTGAAAGAACTATTTCAGCATGTGTTCCACTTACTGACTGTGTACAAGGAAAAAGTTAAAAAGACAAAGCATGGAACTTTGATCTATTCCAGATCAGTACCAATTGAATCTATGCTTGACTATTGAGTATTGCATATGATGTTTAGTTTGTGGTTGGAGTATGGTTTCTCCTTGATGAGATATTTCTTGAAATTTAAGAGAAATACTTTCAGAAATTTCTTGAAATTTAAGAGTAATACTTTCAGAAATTTCTTGAAATTTAAGAGTAGTACTTTCTGAAATTTTATTGCTTATTACAATGACACAGGAATACAAGTGCCTGGTGTATCTGCTTGCCCAGGTAATATTTGGAACAATGATGGACTTGAAAGAGATCTTTACATTCAAACTACTACCATCACTGTTTTAGCTATGGATGGAAGGAGACGATGGTTGGACATTCAAAAACTGGTTAGCTTAATTTAGAGTTCACAGAGAGGAACCTTTCCTGAACATTTATACTTGACTGATTTCCTTTAGTGTGTTTTTTTTTTTTCTTTTTTTTTTTTCCTCCTCCCCAATTTTTTCACGACATATGCATCTGGGCTTGCGGCTAAGGCCAGACATTATATGATAAGATGCATATTATCAGTCTTAAATGAGTTTAACACTGTATGAAATTCCGAAATTTAGAAGAAAATGAACTTGACTTCTCTCCGATAGAATCGGTTTAATGGCTTCCGTGCATAAATTGGTAGTTTGACATTTTGATAAACTTATTAAGTAGAATGATAGTGCTCTTTCAATGCTTAGGGTTCAAATGGAAGAAAACACTTTGTTTTTGTTACAAATCTTCTTCCATGTTCCGGTGTGCGACTGCATCTCTGGCCAGAGAAGGGAAATTCAACTTTGGAGTTATCAACGAATAAACGTGTTATTGAAGTCACATCAAAGATGGTGCATATTCCATCTGGCCCAGCTCCAAGGCAGGTAAATATATTTTAATTCATGTTATTGCCCGATCCTTGTTAAATGCTGATTTAAAAATATGTGCGTTTCTGAACGAGATATTTATTTAAGGTTGAGCCAGGTAGTCAGACTGAGCAGGCACCTCCATCTGCTGTACTTTGGTTGGATCCTAAGAATATGCATGGGTTCAGATTTCTGACAATCTCAGTTGCACCTCGCCCGGTAACATGACATCAGAGCTCAATTACAATATCTTTACCTGCTGTTCCTGATATATGTTATTTATTGAGATTCTTTTGGGGGATTTCTTAGTTCGTCGACTAACATATGTCAAGAAGTTTCTATCAGAAAATTTTGGAAATGTGCTTCATAATTGTGTTGGACGAGTTGTTGAAATAAGAATTATAATGTAAATTTTGAAAAGGATATCGATAGATCGCTCTGCATGTTGAGATTTCCTGCAGGATTTTTGGATATTTTGAGTGCATGTCAGGGTGAAGAAAGCATCTTACTTCGAATTATTTTTTTCAGTGAGAGTGACATATATGACCCCGTTTGAGCCACATTAATGTAAGAATGAGAATGAAAAATATAGTCGTTGTAGCCCCATACAAAAGATAGAAATTCAAATATGGTAGCTTGATGTGATGGATAACGGTCATATTTTTCATTTTAATGGACAAATAATGAGAAACAAACAAGGGCTATGTCAGCACAAATTGTTCCAGTTTTTCGGTGTTCGAACATGGTTCAAGGAGTTCTTTGTCCTGATACATTTCAAGATACTAAGCCCTTGTTTGAGCCCCATTGTTCTAAAAATTCATTTTTTCAAAACTCATTTTCAACCACACATTCTTCAATAAAACAATATTACACGTAAACCCAAAACTTTTCCCTAATTTTTAACCACACATTCTCCATCAATTTACTATTCAAAATACATTCTTTCCCCCAAAATGGGGCTCAAACAAGGGCTAAAGAAAACCAATTCCCAACACTAAGACATCTACTACATTCTTTTTTAATGGATATGGAAGAAATTAATGTTACAGGCCATGTTCTTTTTCCCCTATCATGATAATGCTAGGTGAAGCAGATAGAACTCAAAGAGGATCTCGCTGTCTACTTTTAGATATATGTTCTGCTCTCTTATTAAGTATGATAAGCATAAAAACTGGTTGATTTATATTGTTAAGCGACTTTTTATGTGCTCTATGCACAGACCATTTCAGGTAGACCTCCGCCAGCCACTTCTATGGGAGTTGGACAATTTTTCGATCCAAGGGAAGGAGAGAAAGTGTTTTCTTCTCAGTCTCTGATTCATTCTATGTATTCACAAAAGGTTAATATCTTCAAAAGACAGCTTACTTGAAAGAAGATTCAAACACTTATCTTGGCTGCAAATAGCTGATTGCTATATGACTTGATTTTTACAGGATATCAATTTGAAGGAGGATCATCCTCTTGCATTTAACCTCACTTTCTCTATTAGCTTAGGCCTTCTACCTGTGTTGTTATCTCTTAGAACAACAGGTTGTGGAATTAAGACGTCAGAATTTCCTGTTGAAGAGCAAGGAGACACAGAAACAAGTAGTAAGGATTCTTCTGATTTTCTTTCTCTCTTTCATGTTTTGATAATTCTCTCATATTTTTTTTAATTCTATATAATCTTTATGCTCTTCCAATTTCTTACCTCCTCCATTTCTTGTTTTCTGATCGGAGGTCGACTTCCTAGTCCTTTTACTGTCTTTTAAGAAAAATATATCTAAAATATATTTATCCCCTGTTTGGTCCCCATTTTGTAAAACTCATTTTTCCTCCAACTCATTTTCGACCATACATTTTGTGGGACCCACAACTGTTATCATATTTTCAAACACATTTCATCAACTTTTATCTAAATCTAATAAAGTTTGATTTTTAACTAAACCAAACAGTGGCTTAGTTTTAAGAAATAACACTTGAACATTAGTATGTAGTTTACTGTTTAACTTACTAATTTTCAAGTTTAAGTTTTTAAAATAAAGTAGATTAAGATCAATTGTATTACAAGTAATGGTTAAATTGATCCAAAAGGTCATCATGTAACGAATAATATGTGACACGACTAACATGCATTATGGTACTTCTACAGTTTCTCTCTGTCGCTAATCATTTAAGAAAATATTTGCTTCAAAGGCCACTGAATGTAACAGTGCCTGTCTGTTGCCGATCTGTCATGTTCTATTCAAGTGTTGAATTGGAATGTGAAAGGACATGTATACATCATGCAAGGGGTTCCTATTTATTTACAAGTCTCTTGGTAAGGCATGTCCAGAATCTCTAAGGATGATTCCTTGTCAAGAAATTCTTCACATAATGAAGCTTCCTTGCTTACTAAGAAAGCTGATCAAGAACTTCCATCATCTGCAATTAAAAGAAATCAAGTCTTTTGTAAGATCTTAATGGTGCCTCATAAGCAAATTACAAAGTCTGGATTTAATTGAGGTCAAGTAATTCAAACTCAGAGTAAAACCCATTTTATCGTTTGCCCAAGTAACTTGTAGATAAACTCTGGTTGCATTCTTGGACATTTTGTTGTTTATATCTTTTTTCTGTGTTTTGAGGAGTTTGTGAAGATACCTAATCGTGTATTTATTCTTGTTAAATCCATTTACACTTAATAACTTCTGATCTCTACCATTAACTAATTCCCTTGGATTGTAGGACTTTGTAGGCTCCGCTGTTTCCCACCGTTAGCACTTGCATGGGATGCTACATCTGGTCTCCATATATATCCAAACTTGCATTCTGAGACAATCACGGTTGATTCATTTCCAGCACTTTGGACTTCCACTCAAGACACTGAGAGAACAACTGTTTTGTTATTGGTATAGTTCTCAGATTAGATGTAAAATGATTTCTTTTCTTCCAACCATGCTTGGTGACATGAAAATTTGGTCATTTTGCTGGCTTTGTTCATGCACTGCTAAATATTAGATTCTTTTAATGTTGTATACTCTGCAGGTGGATCCACATTGCTCATACAAAACTAGCCTTGGGGTTTCTATCACTGCCTCTTCTGGTAGATTTTTGCTTTTATATTTTTCTCAGGTGAATTCATAATTCGACATGAAGGCTTTCTAGAATTCAGTTCTTTTTCTTGAGCTCTTTGTTATGCTACCATTTAGTCAAATATATCACCTCCACAGAAAAATGCATTTATTTTTTCATTATGACTTGGAATAAGTTATCCTTGATGAATGAGCAAGTTTAGTAATTTATTTCCTTTGACTCGAGTTTCCAAGAATTAATTTCGATTGTCCACCAATTTCATTTGATTGATGAGAACAGGAATTGAATTTTCTGCTAATTAACTTCATTGTTATTTTCTTTTAGAGAAAAGGAAACAACTAATATATTTATTTTCTTTGAAAAGAACAATATGCATGAATGCACATACTTGACAGAGCGGTATTGCTCTTAAATCTCAAAGAAGCCAATATGATGAATAAATTCATATTTGATTGAATGCTTAAATATATCCGCTGCAATATTTGATGACTCATAATGATGAACTTGAATATACCTATGGATGTTTAATGCCAAAGTTTTCCTTCTTTACCAAGAGGAGTAGTTGTGCATGTGTTCTTCGTAGTTTCATATTGCATCTATTTCCCATCCCCGTTCATATGATTTTTTTGTAGCTTGTAGGTTATGATTGGTAGTTATGCTTCTTATTTCATGTATTTGAGAAGATGTTATCAGCTTTTGCTTTTATGGGTCATGCAGATCAGCGGTCTTTCTGTTGCTGTTGTGTTTTTTGCTCTTATGCGGCAAGCGCGTAGTTGGGAAGTTGATCTGCCTATGCCATCGTTGCTGTCCGCAGTTGAATCAAATTTGATAATACCAGCGCCATTTTTATTCCTCGCCGTTATGCCCATATTTTTCGCTTTACTCTTTTCCTGCCTATTCTCTCTACAAGTTCCTCCGACGATAAGCTTCATTGTCGTCTCAATACTATGCTATGTGTTTGCAAATGGGGCAGTGATCATGATCATATCAATTTCTCAATTTGTTTCCCATATAGTTGCATCAGCCCATGTTTTCATTAAGAAACGGTTAGTAGTCCTTCCCTCTCTCCTCTCTCTCGTCCTTCCGAAAATTTGGTGCCCTGTAATTATGGTTGTGACATTTTCATAATGGTTTGTCTATAAGTTGTGTTAACCACTTGATAGATATGCTTTGCTTGTAATATTGATGTTCTATACAGTGCTAAAACAAGATTATATTTGTAGGTGGCAAGCGTGGGAAGGGAGGTTCAGTTTTCCCTTTCTTCAATGGTTTATCGATCTCTCCTCTACTCTATCATCTATTAAGGTAATCTTGTACTCACAATGAAGACAACTAATTGTAGTGAATCATAGTTGGAGGTTCGCTTTTACGTTTCTGGGTTTATCAAAATAATGAAAAGCATGTAAACATACATTCCTACTTCTTTTCTGGTGATTAATGTAAATACTTTCAACTCCTTTCGCAAAGAGCTTCCTCTTATCCATCTTGTGAGAATCTCACAAGTTCTTCCTTAATGTTATTTCTTGTCTCATCTCCCATGAAGCAGGTGGTAAGGATTCTGAAAGCCAATTCACTGCTTATCACAGCATTAATTTCTATTACACTGGTGTGTTTTGTGCATCCTGCTCTGGGTCTCTTTGCATTGCTCCTATCTCATGCTGTGTGCTGTCACAACGCTCTCTCTAGGTATACCACTCTATTGCCTCCCTTAGCAACGCAATGTGTAATAATTGTAGAAAATTGCTTTTTCTCTGAATAATTAATGCGTTTTGGTGATTCTAATGTGTAGTGCAATAAGCAATTTGTTTTATTGAACCTGGTCTTCCCTGTGAATAAATTTTTAAGGATGTCCAAAACAATAAAAGAAGGCTCTATCGAATGCATTAAGTCATTGTTAACTATGCTATGGTAAAGATTATGCCATGTACCCTGTTAATATAACCACCACTTTATTTATAAGGTTTTGAGGGTCTGACATTTTTGGTTGGTGCCTCACTACCTTAATTTCTGTGATTAACAATAGCTGTAGTCCCCCTTCACTTTTCCTGTTATTTAACTGCCCACAATTCATTTTGATATCCTTTTAATTGGGTTCCAGGTTATCATATTTGCAGTTTTGATTCTAATAAGACCAAATATTACTTCTGATGAGTTTCCTATTGGCTATAATTCTTTTTCTTTTTAATAAATTTATAAGTGAAAAGTTCAGAATATCCTTGATGTTATCTTCAGTGGACTTGAATGTGAGTTGGACTACAAACAATTTAGGCTTTGTCATTCAGTTGGTGTAACTCCAGGTCTTCAAGATGTAACTTCTTTAATCAGATTCTAGTTGCAAGTAGTAGTAATATATGTGTAACAACATCAAGAAGTAAAAGGAATTGGAATATAACCCTTAGAATGCATTTTTTTTCGAGAGGTTGGGGGCTAAACTATTTATTTTTCCTTTTAATCTGGTCTGCTTAAAAGTCAACTGTTGAGAGCTCTTTCTTTGTTTCAATTGCATCCAACCAGTAGTTTGGGGAACCTGCTGTGGTATAGAAAATTGCCCTTTCCTTGTCGAACCAAGGGAAGTTGGAGTATGGTCATTTATGGGTGATGTGTATTTCTCTAGTTGGTAAAATGTGAGACTCCCTCGTCAGCATTATCTAGAGAAATAACTGTGCAAAGACATCCAGATTGAAATTTCAAGGCTGTGATGTGCACTTTTGGTTGTTGGATGATACATTTTCGAGTGCAGAAAACACATGCAGTCTAAATCATTTTTGTGCCTCTATCTTATCTAATATTTTGAAGAACCATTTCTTTTCCTATATTCATTTTTTGCATGCTTGTGATTGTTTTAGCATTTATTCAGGGACTAGTAATACGATCTAAGAGTCAATTTTGTTGTCTTTGCAAACAGTTTTTTTATGGCTTCATTTCGCAGTCACATCCGAAGTAAGGAGCTATTTGAGTCTGGAAACGGAGATCTACGTGGTTCTGTTCAATTTAATCCCGGGTATGATGGTGAGCTCTTTAATATGGATGAGAAATGCACTAGTAGCCCAGAATCTCGGGGAAGCTATGGAGAGACGCAATTAGAGATCTTCCACTACTGGCATGGGTTGCTTGTTTTACATCTGCTTGCAACACTAATGTTTGTCCCTTCACTTCTCGCCTGGCTTCAGGTATGGGTGATGTGTTCTTTTTACCTGAGAATGCTAAATTTGTATTGTATTAACCTTTTCTTATATGAAACCTAAATACTCTGTTGAGGTGAGTCAGATAGTACTCTTGACAGTATTGAGTACGAAAAAGAAGTTAAAATCTTGTTCTTTACACTTTTCAATCCTATCCAGTATTGCGTATCAAATATATCCTGAATGTTTAAAGGACTCCAGTTTGACGTTCTGAAGAATCAATAGGTGCACTTAACTGATCCTACAGAGTAATTTTAAGTAGTCGAAGTTAGA